ACCCCGTGGAATCATCAGTTGCGTCCGTTAATTAATAAACTTGGAGAGTAGCTGCTGCTGTTTGCAGTATTCAGTGAATGGATTGATGTCGTCGCGCTTCTGGTGCATTATAAAACAATTTTATTGACATTACAGCGAAACTTCTGTCAACAGAAGACTGCAATTTAACTTATCGCTTAACACGATCGGATCGGATTTGATTTGATCTGAACACATTCGAAGACATCGTTGTATGTGTGACAGATACACACCAGATGGTGGATGCGCCCGACCTCCCGGATACCCACCTCTCTCACTTCTCCTCCGCTCAAATTCTATCATCAGCATATTTTTCAGTCAGTCCATGCAAAATGACAAATTTCCATCTTTTTTTTTTTCATACCTGGAACAAACGTAGAGCTCTGAACGCATTGCGACGGCTAAACCATTCTTTTCTATAGGCAAAGTCCATTTATCCTCCAATAACATCAGCAATCGGTCCAGAATATAAACCAAAAATACTGAGACCGTCCCAGCCATCAAGGCAGGTATCTCAGTGTTAGTGATGTTACTAGAATGCTCCCACTGCGAGGCGCGGCTAATGCTAAGTCCTTCGATCCTGAATCGGAAATATAAATGCTTCAAATCGTAATATTTCAAAAATTTATTAGGATTATATATAAATTTAATACCAAGTTTAATATTAAAAACAATAGCAGTCAGCTGAACAAGAATGTTTCGGTCCATTAAGCTGTACACGTTTCTATTTGCTTCGCGGTTGTGGTGCCAATTAATTAAAAGTATTTAAAACATATAAGGGCTGACTGATAAAGACGAAATAATTTTATGTATATCGAAGGATATGTAACGGAAGAGGTGCCAAAAAGAAGTAAAATAAAACAAAAAGAAAACATAAACAGCAAATATTTAAAAGTTTCACAAGTAAACATTCAATATTAATCAAGCAAACAACATTCTTCATCATTTTTTCAGAGTTAGATTTTTTTTTACAGCTAAGGGATGAAACGCGGGCAGATTTACCCTACATTTTCCTCGTTGCATGACTTTACAACACGACATACGGTTTCTTGCCGCATGATCTTAGCTCTAAAATTTTGTTCTTTTTTCTCCTCTAATCCATTCCCATAATAAACCTTGCTCCACTCCGGATCAAAAGGATTTCAGATAATGTTTTGCGGCCGAGCCCCGTTGGGCCTGGCCGTGCCGTATTTTGGTAATTTATGAGCCGTCCCGTTTTCACGCTTCACAACTACGCCAAAGGTGCATTGGTTCGGCCAATCTTATACTCGCCACTAACGGTATTTTCCCAAAAAAGGATAAAAATAACAGTCAGTGAAACAATCTGAGTTACCCATACCACAAACAATATCCATCCACTACTAATTCTAAAACTTTTTTTTCTCATGCTGTGGATTTTTATATATTTATATGTAAAAATTAGAATCTCCGTTCAAAAAATCGAAAAGTATCTCATACTAAGCAAACTTCGGTAGGATGTTTGGGAAGAGGGAGAAGGCTCAAACGAAGAAGACATCAATCCCCGTCCTGTATCAGTAATCCAATTAGGGCATGTAAAGTGGAACAATTCTGGCTATCGATATAAACAAAACCACCATTTTCACTAACACATTTCACAGGAGCACTGTTACTCAGACGTTGCTCCGGCCTGGACGGTGTGGAATGCTGGCCGCTTATCGCTGCATCAGCTTGTGCTAGCACCGAATTTTGCTGTTCTTTCGGTTGTGATGACGGTGATACCGGTGATGAAACTGATGAAGCCTTATCAAATTCCCGGAGCAATGCGTAAACACCTTTTGTGCGCAACTTTTCTCGACCCATCGTGCTCCCGCATAGCTACAACAAACAAATGATACTTTCAAGCAATGTTAAATCATAAAAAAAAAATAATCCGTTACTGTTTTCAGGTGCAACGAACATCAGGATCGCCAACAGGCTGATCACTAAGCGATGCAGCCACTGGTCAAAGCAACTGGAAAAGTTACAGTTGGGAAACCAAGCAGAAAAAAAAAAAACCGTTAAAGTGGAGAACCACCTAAAAATAACTAGCTAAATTATGAAACAATACAAAACCAAAATTCGTGACAACTCCACTAAACATTCTAAAGAGGACGAAAAACACCAATATTTTCGATTATTGTATAAAAACAGCCATCACTGTGACCAAAAATAGCCGTGTCTCATTGGAATCCTTCGTGCCTTCTCAGGCACG